CAGTGTATGGAGGTGAATGGGATGCAGGGCTGTGGAGGAAGAGGGCCATGGGGGTGGCGGCTCTGGGAGGTGGAGAGGATGGGTGGGAGAGCACTGTAAGGGGTACAGGGCTGGGATGGGTAGGTGTGGGGGGCAGGACAGGATGGGATGGATGCAGTGAGGGGGATGAGGGGGAAGGGCTGGGATGGGGAAGGATGCAGTGAGGGAGATGGGGGTGCAGCCCCATTCCCAGCACTCAGAGATGAGGATACACATGCCTCGAACTCCTGGGTTCCAGCAAGGGGGCTAGAGACAGACTGCGGTTTGCTGCAGGGCATGTGCTGCAGCTTGAGCCCAGCCACACGAGGGAGGCGCATGAGGAGAAGAGGGCCAGGCAGCAGCGGGAGAAGCGCAAGCCATGCAACCCCTCAACAGCCGCCTGCTGAGCACTCGAGTCGTGCTTGCACTAGTTCTCCCCTGGCCTGGCTTAACCAGTGGGAGCTGCGCCAGACATGCCAGCTGCTTCCCAACCTGGGAGCCTGCCAGCCCCGCTGCGCAGCAGAGCCACCAACTGCACAGTCAACAGTGCTAACGGGAGTTGCCAGGATCCCTTTTTGACTGGGTGTTCCAGTCCAAAACTGGACACTTGGTCACCTTAAACTGCAGTGAAATATCCCCTGGAGCCATTCTAGAAAGAAATTCCAGGAGCACAAGCCTTTAATCTGGATTCACTTTAGAATCTGGATTTATAACCTTTGCTGGTAACTTTGACAGCACGTCCATGCCAACTGTGTTTGGGGGGAGGGATAGCTCAGTGGTTTGAGCATTGGCCTGCTAAACCCCAGGTTGAGTGTTCAATCCTTGAGGGGGCCGTTTAGGGATCTGGGGCAAAAATCTGTCTGGGGATTAGTCCTGCTTTGGGCAGGGGGTTGGACTAGATGACCTCCTGAGGTCCCTTCCAACCCTAATATTCTATGATTCTAACCCGCATAGGGAGAGGCTGCTTTGGAGCATCTTTCTTCGTCAAATGAAGAACTAGATTTTGTTGCATAAGGGATTTTCTTGAAATAGACCATCCCCCACTCAGATCTAGTGCTGGAGATTATCCTAAATCTGAAAGCAAACCCACTCAGGGTCAGGATGAGCTCTCCCCTGACATCTAGTGAGGCCTGGGAGGAGAGATGCCAGGAGCAGACTTGACTTGCAATGGACACACCTACTCCGCCTAGGCGCTCAAAGTGATCAGCTTTGGCTGGTGTTGAGTTATAAATCACTTTAGCATTGAGCACAGGGGGAGTGACATGTTATCCTGACTGTAGGAGCAAAGGGCAGCAGAACTGTGTCCTGATAGAGGGGGTCACCCTCACCTGAACCTCACTAGCTAAGCAGATGTCAGATCCCACTAAAGGTGGGAGGGTGGTGTGTGCAGAAGTTCTTCCATGCTGCAGATTCTGCCTAAAGAGCCCTAGACAGTATTTGACTCTCCCCTCTTCAGTGGCTAAAGACAGAGCTGATGAGACTCAATTGAGAGTGCTTGCTTCTGTTCAGAGGTTCCTAGAGCTGCAGTCACTAAGGAGCAGGTCTAGGGGCTAAGCCTTAGCCCCAGTGACAGGACAGTGTTGCAGAGAAAGACAATGAAGGGGCAGCAGCACGGAGGACCCCCCCCACCTCCCCCCCACCACACACACAGTCAGGGAAATCACTAAGAGTTGGGCTGAGTGGGGGGATCTCAGAACGGGGCATCGCAGATGTGGCAGCGAGTGGCCAACAGCAGAGGTGACAGCAAGCGGCCAGTGTGACATTTGTTCGTGGGACTTTCACATGGGCAGGTGGGCACATGAGAAGACATGCTTTTGAATCAGTGGGTGTGGTGGTTTCACAAACTAATGCTGGGATCCTTTCCCCCTTTTTATTTAAAAGTTTCTTTGCTGTGCACAGTTTCAGGGTTTAGTTTTCCCAGATTACTGGTGGGGGCTTGAGCCGGTTCTGTGTTATATTGTCAAGAGGAACCCCTAGATATTGAATCTGGCCCTTGTTGCTGCCGACTCCACCTGGCAGAAGGGTTACACATGTGATTTTGCTGAGAATAGTGAGCACCTATTGGCTGCTTCAGAAGACAGGCAGCTCTCCGAAGCAAAGATCCCTCAGGCCCAGAGGAGTTAGAAGCCTAAATACCTTGGAGGATCTGGGCCTCAGTTAAGACAGTGGAGCTGGTTGGCTTTGACAATGGATGAAGGAGAAATAGCACAGACTGTAACATTTTTCTGAGTCTAGAACCCTTGTGATATTTTGTCACTCAGTGCCAAAGCTTCCCCTTCAGATGAGGTTTGTTGTAACCAGAGCTAAGGGGCATTTTTTGAATTTTGAAATGTTTTATAAGTTGCCACAAGGCCAATGCTGAACTTTCAAATTTTGCTGCAAATAAAAAAAAGGGGACAAAACTTTTGTGAAAATATTAAAACAAATGGCATTTGAGGGTTTTCTCTGTGCATGTGAAAATGCCAATAAAGTACAATTTAAACTTTTAAATTAGTTTAACTTTTTTAACTATTTAACTTTCTAAAACTATTTTTAAAACTATTTTAACCATTTCAACTTTTGAAAACTATTTTAATTTTTACTTAAACTATTTTTGTGTGTTTTTATTTTATGATTGCATGTGCATTTTTAAATTATTTTAAACTTTTAACTCTTTCAATTTATGCCATTTGGTAGATTGTCTTCCTTCTGCAGTCTTGTGCACCAGTACAGAGTGGATGTAAAATGTGACTGTCCTGATCTCACTTTACACGGCATGTACATTTTTGTGCTCACTTTACACTAGTATACATGGCCACACATTGTGAAGAATGGGGAAAAGGGCCTTGAGAAAATCAGTGTTGCCAGCATTTGCAATTTTTTTGCATTTCCTAAAGACTCAGGGCCTGAATCAAGAGACTGCATGAGAATTGCAGAACAGCTGGGCAAATAAGGAATGTACCAGTTCACTAGCAATGACGAAAAATAAACAATAAAACATTTGCTTTTGAGTTGAATGAATTTTTTTTTTTAATTGACAAATCAAAAAGTGAAAACAAAATGTTCAGGTCAGAACAAAACATTTCACTTGGACATTTCCAAAATACTTCATTTTTTTCTGGCACAATTTTGCAAATAGTTTCCAGCTGACAAAAATGACTGTATTTGATGAAAAAATCCACCCAGCTCTAAATCTCAGCTCTCACCAGTGGTGCTGGAATGTTTTTTATAGTGGGGGTGCTGAAAGCCAGCAAAACTGTCCCCAAACTTTTTACCTCGCATCTCCCTTACCCCTATCTGCACACCCCCCACCCAGAGCTGAGGCCAGGAGCAGGGCTGTGTCTCTGGAAGGGGGGGACTCGAACAGGGGTAAGGGGGCCAAGGCTGGGGCCACAGCTGGTGGTGGATGCAGGGCCAGGAGCGGAGCCTTGCATGTGGGGCCAAGAGCAGATCCCCAGGTGCAGGGTTGGCAGCCAGGACCCCGGATGCGCGGCCGGGAATGGAACCCCAGGAGCAGGGCCAGCAGCCAGGACCCCACGTAAAACCTGGGGGTGCTGCAGCACCCCCTGCACCCCTACTTCCCATGCTTATGGCTCTCACGAAGAGCAAGTTTCTTGCCCTGGAGACTGTGGGGAAAAGCCCGAGACCCCTAAAGGCTTGGAAACAGGAAAGCAAAGAAAAAGAAACCCCCATTCGGTATTTTGGCAAGTGCATGATTTGTAAGTATAGCTCATGATTTGGGGGCCTGACTCATCATTTTTGAATGCTTGAAGCTGGCCTTGTTCAGACTGACAACAATGACTGTAATAAACAGACGTGTGCATGGATGGTCGGGGAAAACTGTGTGGGGCAGGGACTGAGGTTTTGTTCTGTGTTTGTACAGCAGCAATGAGGTCCTGGGCCGGGATTGGGCTGCTCAGTGCTAGATATTATTTATGTTAATAAAAATAGTAAGCAATAAATAATCCAGCATCCCAGATCCTCAGCGCTGGCAGGAGAAATAGGTGCCTTGGATCGGGAGCCAGTGCTTAAAGTGGTCTGAAAAAGGGGAAGGTGTCTCCCTGGGAATAGCAGCTTTGGTAGAACATAAGAATGGCCATCCTGGGTCAGACCAAAGGTCCATCTAGCCCAGTATCCTGTCTTCCAACAGTGGCCGGTGCCAGTACTTATAGTCCCCTCAGGGACCTGGCTCGATTTTCATTTATTTGGCTGTGTCTGGGACTTCCTGAGAGCCCCCTAGACACACACTGGTCTCAACAAGAGGTGCCCAGGAACTCAGCATGTTTAGCACTGATGATGCCGCGTCAGAAGTCAGGGCTGGATGTGTACCGGGAAAGGACTGTCCCTGTCCCAGAGTGCTGAAACAATGGGTGTGGGGAGTGCAGCCGCATCCACGGCTTGAAGTGGCTTCCATATAGACAGGGTTCACAGTTTGGTTCAGTGGCTCTCAGCACCCCCACTGTACAAATTGCTCCAGTGCCCCTGTCCCGGATCCAAACCGCCCTGATTTGGGTGCGCTTCCAGGGCGCTGGAGGACTTGCCGGGGGGGGGGCAATTAACAAGCTATTTCTGGGGGCCCTCAGGTGGGACCCCTGGCCCGATTCACTTCCCATTCAACAGGGAGGTTCGCTTTTGCTTCCAGACTTGACCCAGCCAGCTGGGAGCCAGTCGGGCTGCTCTGCCCAGCGGGGTCCCAGACGGTTGGGGGGTTGTGGAATCTCCATCTAAGGAGATATTTAAGAGTAGGTTAGATAAATGTCTATCAGGGGTGGTCTAGAATAGACAGTATTTGGTCCTGCCATGCAGGCAGGGGACTGGACTTGATGACCTCTCGAGGTCCCTTCCAGTCCTAGAATCTATGAATCTATATGGGGCCCAGTGACAGGCTTGGGAACCGCTCAGCCCCCGGGGCTGGCTTCTCGCTGGAGCGGCCGGGGAGGAGGAGCTGTTGCCACTAGAGGACAGTGGCTGATGTTCAAGGAGGGGAAACTGGTTCCTCCTCTGCCTACCCCGCTTCCTCTTCCGCCGGGAGAGAGCTGAGCTTCCCGGGCAGAGAACCTGCAGCCCGGGCTGAGTCGCTGCTGCTCCCCAGCGGGGTCTGTGCGGGGAGAGACCTGCACTAATCCCCCTCTGTGCCCAGCCTGGGGAGGGGACTTTCTGCGGTGGCTGGAACCAGCCCCAGGCTCTGCCGACACCAGCCCCTGAGCCGGAGCCTGCAGGTGAGGGGAGAGACCCGGGCAGGAAAGTGACTCCGCACCAACGGCACCTCCTCGCCCCAGCTCTGCTCC